CTGGGGGAGCGATAGTCAATGTCGCAAGCACCTCTGGTCTGCGCGGGTTTCCGAATAACTCTGCATATTCGTCCAGCAAGTTTGGGGTCATTGGCTTGACATTGTCTGCAGCTGGTGAGTATGGAACTGAGGGTATTCGAATCAACGCAATCTTACCGTGAGTTATGACTTTGGTTTCTGAGATTGGAAATCTTCCTGCCCGGCTGACTCTGAATAAGAGGACCAATCGATACGCCGATTATTCGAGACGGAGAAAAGAAGGGACTCTTTGACGCAGCTTCCATATACAACAGTACTCTCATGAAGCGCCTTGGTGATGTGGACGAGGTTGCTAAAGTTTTATGCTTCATGTTAAGTGACGATGCATCTTATGTCACCGGAGGTAAGATTCCCGCCCAGTTCCTTGGTAGCAGCCGACGACTAAATCATCATAATATAGCTCAGTGGACTGTAGACGGCGGCTACAGCGCGTGTTAGTGCCATATTGCATCAGCATGAAGACGCGTTTCAATCGCGGTGAAGAATCGTATCTATTATAAAACTGCAATTCAATATCATCAGTTACCACATGAATACAGGCACAGATGGAACGAAGCTTCCTATCAAATGATGAAGCAAATAGTAATATTATATAAATAGTGTTGCTGTAGATGTGGGTCTCGTGGTGCTCTCTGATATGCAGGGCCTCTTATGACCTTGGCGATGGCGAATTTACCTGCAGACCCTTCTTAGGGTAACCGACCGCATGTAAGGGGTTACTTAAACCCCGCAACTTCTTGTATGATGGTTGAACACAAACGGTTTTCCGTAGATCAAAGAGCTGGCTTATCTCAGCGGCGGTGGTCGGCGCGTGGATGCACATCCTGGCAACGGTGAAGGGGATGATTACCCTTGGATACCGCTCTCCCTACAGTCTAAAACGGCATGATCGCGTGGACGCTGACAATCATAGCTTTAATATGTCTACAATGTGGTGGGCGGTATTGTTCTCCCCGTTCTAACAAAGTGCAATTCTGGTGTAATCATGTGAACTTCTTATTACTACCCACAAAGCTGTATGTATGACTTGAGGCTACTTACTATATATTTGATATTTGTGGGACTCAGAAATAACAGCCAGTAAAAAGAAACCGATCAAGTCTTGTCAGCTGTACATAACTGGACTGTTTCTTATTGCTGGACCCCGCATCTCTCTCTCCACATTTTCGCTAGCCTAATATTACGGGCCATTGTCGGGTATGACTCGGATCAATCTCTCTGACCGATCGGGATCAGCTTGCCCGCTTTCGGTCTAGTCTTGCTGATCTTCATCAGACATGATTATGTGTACTCCACACATTGCAAGCCAAACAATAAATCTGTGGGATGCGATAATATTGCGCGTCGCATAGAAGAAGATGAAGTCAACGGGTCCTCGTACAAGGTGAAAGTTGAATTTTTACCCCTCTTATTCGACAAAAGCATATTGACAGGCCAAAGTTCAAAAAGTTAAAGTTTGAGATTTCCCCGCTCATTCGACAAACTCATATTTGCAGGCGGGATCTAGCTTGCTGGTAGTGGAGAGGCGACTCAGACGGGCAGTCTCAATTCTCATTGAAACTTGGCTTTGCCAACGGGGAATGGAGGATTGATTTCAACACAAGTGACAATGTTTGGCAGTAAAGAAACACTAACACCACATCTTTGTCGGGCATTTGTAGGGATGGTTACGTCATCGTGAAGCTTACAACAACACATGGTGTCGAATAACCCGGACTTTGCGCGGGTATTTCGCCAGGGTGCTTATTTTCTTCGCGAATTCGCAGTTCCGCTTGATATTATCATCCACGTAAAAGAGGCTATCAATGTTCCCCCCACATCCATCAACAGTCCGTCCGAGGTTTGCTTGACTTCTCTGATGGGCCAATTTTGAAGATAGCACAAGCTCTGCACATATAAGCGGCGTGGTCTGGAACTCATCGCAGCCATTTCTTCTCTTGACTGGTTCGACTACTTCCATTTGACATCTGGGCTATCTTTATCATCAAACAATGGCAGTCAAAGCAGATCTTTATAGTTACATCAAGCCCTCGGCTGTGCCGTTCTACCAAACTCCTTCGTTTGTTCTGGGAGCTATTGTTGTGGCCTATCTTGTATTCAAGATACTCAGAAGTGGCCGACGTGATCCTCGCATGCCTCCTGGACCTCCTACCATCCCGATATTTGGTAACGCACTCCAGATTCCAACCACGGGAATAGGCAGAAAGTAACGTGCTACAGATGTTTCAGAATATGTCTCGGGAGGTTTCTAATCAACAGTTTTCTAGATATCGCGAATGGGCCGATCAGTACGGTCCAGTCTTCTCTCTCAAAGTCGGACCTACCAACATGGTTGTTTGCTGCGACAAGAAGTCCGTCAATGCCATGATGGACAAGAAAGGCAAGACCTTCTCCGACAGACCCTTCAACTACGTGACGAATTATATCACCCATGGTGATCATGTGCAGCTCGAAAGTGTTTCTCCTTCATGGAGAGAGAAGCGCGCGGTGGTCACGAGAAACCTTGCTCCGGCGTTGTTGGATGAGAAACACTGGAAGGTCCAGGAAGCAGAGTATGATTTACACCCAGTTCCTTAGATGCAGCAGAATATCTCCCGTGGTTACTAACCTGACTAATATTTTAGAGCTGCTATCTTCTTGAACAACATCCTAAAATATCCGGATCACATAATGGACTATGCGAAGCTGTATACGACGTCCGTTGCCTGCACTCTTATCTGGGGTCAACGTATCACCGATCTCAACTCTTTCTGGTTCAAGGATTTCAATGATCTAATGGATGTTGTGAGTAACCCTTATTTACCTTGAGTTGTTTCTATATTTTGATATTGACGATACTCTTAGTGGATCGAAGCGGAAGAGCCGGGAGCTAATCCACCTATCGATGAATTTCCAATTTTGAAGTATTTCCCTGGCAAATGGAAGAAGCGTGCCGACAAATGTCGCGATATGATGGATGACATGTGGGACAAGGCAAGAGCCATTATCGACGAGCGCAGAGCCAAAGGGATCCGAAGAGACTGCTTCATTGATACCAAGCTTGACGAGTATGCTCAAAAGGGATGGCCTATGTCTCAGCATGCGTTCAACAATCTCTTCGGCGAACTTCTGGAGGCTGGAGCAGATACGACCGCCAATCAAATTTTGACCCTCATCCTGGCGCTCGCAAAATATCCCGAGATTCAGAAGCGAGCAAGAAAGGAGATTGATGCAATTTGCGATGCAAGCCAGAGCCCACAGTTTGCCGTTCATTTCGACCAGATGCCCTACATTAACTGCATTGTGAAAGAAGGAATGAGATGGCGTCCTACTGCCTCCGGGGGATTGCCGCATCTTTGCACTGAAGACTATTGGTATGATGGCATGTTGATCCCTAAGGGAACAATTTGCTTCGTCGGTGTATGGGCTATTCATCATGACGAGAAGCTGTATCCTGACCATGATAAATTCAACCCCGACCGATATCTGGATCATCCAAAGCTTGCCAGTGACTATGCCGCTTCGCCCGATTACAACAACAGAGATCACTATGGGTACGGTGCTGGACGTCGGATCTGTCCGGGAATGCACTTGGCCGAGCGCAATATGTGGCGTATAGTTGCCAAACTATTGTGGGCCTTTGAGCTTTCTGAACCCGTGGATCCTGTTTCTGGTAATGTGATCCCTCTGGATGTCGAGGCTTATAACTCTGCAATTTTACTTCGTCCTCTTCCTTACAAAGTCACTGTCAAGCCGCGAAGCCCCGAGCACCTCAAGACTGTCCAGGGAGAATTGGCGGGTGCTATGAAGTTTATGTCTAAATGGGAGTAGGTGGCCTCAGGAGTGCCTTGTACTGAACATATGTACCGAATGTGAAGCGTTGTGCTGAGATTCAATTTATTTGTGTTGCTCGGAATTAGTCAATAGTGATAATTGTACTACCAGTGAATTAAATTCTTCTTCAGCCTAACAACTTATCTCAGCGTACAACAGGCTATCGTTTTTCTGCGCAACATCACATTAGTAAAAGAGCGTTGATCCATTAGTCATCTTAGCGACCAGAGAAGCTATTCAACAAAGTACAAGTTCAAGCACATGAGGAGGCTTTACTCGACTCTTCGGCCTTCCTACCAAAGCACTTAGCGCGAGAGAAACTAACGACTGAAACACAGATATTGCGTTTCAGCTCTCGGTCTCCCGGTCGCCGAACGAGAGAACTATAGAGGTGTTGCACTTCACTTTCCTATATTTGTTCACATACGGAGCAACAGTTGAACACAAGCAGCAATAAGCAAAAAGCAAGAAACAAGAAACAAGAAACAAAAAGCAGGAAATTAGAAACAAGAAGCAGGAAAGAATCAAGACATCAGACAAAAGAAATACAAACAAGAAAATATTGCAGTAAGACTGATCAAGAGCTTGAATCATTCTCGGTCTTCTCTGGATATGGCTTGGGCACGTTATAGGGATCCACACGAATATCTGTCAAGGCTACCTGCACAGTGTCTCCAAATTTAATGTTGACTTCCTCAAGAGATAACCCCTTAGTCTCGGGGAAGGTCAACCAGATAAGGTTGACTGCCACAAAGGTCGCGCAGATAAACACAAGATAGTATCGCCATTCGATTTGATCAAAGGCTTGAGAAGCAGGGCTGCTGTAAACAATGCCAAAGATAAAATAGGAACCGAGACCAAATGTGACGCCCTTGCTGCGCAAATGAGTTGGCCAGATTTCAGCGTTGTAAACATAGACGGTAGCATCGCAAGTAACAGCGTAGAAGAGAATGAAGATATAAAAGAATGCCACGCAAGCGTTGATTCCTGGCTTGTAGTCCGAATGAAGGTAGTATTTTTGCAGGGCACACTGAATAGCCATGGCTATAGTGCAAAGATATCCGCCGATAACTAAAAGCGTAACCCGACCTACTCTATCCACAATCAAGGAGTTGACTGACGCTCCAATCGTTGCACACGTTACCCAAACAACAGATAGTCCTAGTTGCATGAGATTGTCAAAGCCAAGTGATGCGAATAGAATAGGCATGAGATTGAAGATAACCAAAAGGCCACTGGACTGAACCATGGCGAATGCAAGGATTGAGCAGTAGGCCCGCCTGCGAAGATGGGCGTTGGAAAAGATATACCACCAGCTGTGTGGAAGCTTCTTTTCCTCCTCAACTTGGGCGACAATCTGGTGAAACTCTGCTCGAGCAAGTTTTGCCGTCGGATCTGATTTGGTGCGATGAAGGCGCTCCATGACTGCAAGAGCTTCTTCTTTCTTTCCCTGTTCGACGTACCATCTTGGAGATTCCGGAAGGATCAAGATTGTGATGGCGCAAACAACCGAAAAAAAGATCAGCATGATAAACTGCAGACGCCATTGAATAGATGATGTCACAAAGTTGAAAATAACCGCAAAAACTCCGCACGTAATATATCCAATTGTAATGAATGTAGCGTGCATTCCGACTAGCAGGCCACGCGCGTGGGGGGGCGATATCTCGCTCATATACACAGGCATATTTCCCAAGATCATACCGGCAGATAATCCACAGAATCCTCGGGAGACGATAAACATGGCGGGATTAACACTCGCAGCACTGAGAACTCCGGATATGATCATCAAGATGGCAGCCGTCTCTGCGCATATCTTGCGTCCAAACTTGTCCGATATCGCTCCTTGCAGCACCGTTCCAATGAAACCTCCGCCGAAGAACCTGTGCAGGAGTTAGATTGCAGGTTATAAAAGTACTACTGTACACAAATGAAGAATCTCTCACTTACACTGACTCAATACCATCAATGATGGCGGTATAATCTGGTCCACTCAGAAACTTTGCAAGAAATGTCTGCTGGGCCAAGCTTCCAGCGACCGCGTTATTTCCATAGCCAAATAGAAAACTGGAGATTGCAGCAGTAAGGACAATCTATTGCATAACATTAGACAACAGTTGATGATGTAACTCTCAAACGGGAGAAAAGGGACTTACCAAGAAGTTCAAAAGACTGGGAAATTTGGAGTGGTTCGCCAATTGATCTCCGTTTTCAATATGGCTGATCGAAAACTCATCTTGCCGGGACTCGGGTTTGGGATCATTCAAAGTCATGACTATAACGTATTATTGCACTTTAAGAGCCAGATGTGTGATCTAGATGAGCAAAGGCAATTCATCTCAACTTATAGCAAACTTCCACTTTCACAGAGTCGGCTGGTAGTTGACTACTCCCCCGCAAAAAAACGTGGTGTATTGCCGCAGATCATCCGCAATCATCTACCCCGCTCAAGACGACGGTATGATTCCATGATCAGAACAATAAGTGGGCGACAAGCAGAAAGCTTCATTGTCGTTTTGCGTTTTGCGTGAGGAGATGAGGGTATGCGGAGAGCCTGTTGAACACTAACTGAGATAATATTTCATACCACGTTAGAGAGTCAAACGCTAATAGCGACTCTGTGTCGACAGTAGTCTGCTGCCCCGCATTTGAGAACAAAATTTATATGATTCGGTGCTAGTTCGGTTTTTTCAACGTAATTCAACTTCAGCGAGTTCCAGCCACCTCCGGGACAAATCACCGGTATACAGCGCACTTCCGAATCACTCCGTGAAATCTACCAACAAAAGGATCAGATATAGCGCTATCCTATCTGGCGAGCCTGCCGAAGTTCAACCGGAGGTGCGTAGGAGCAGCGGGAGCATGATAGCGCTACCTGCCTCACCAGAAAGGATCAAACAGTCTAAACACAGGAATACCTGATGCAACTGTGCGCATATGTTATCACATTAGATATTGAGAATATCAGGGCCAGACGCTCAGTGACAGGAAGCTCACAGAAACTCCAAGTTGCAGTCAATAAAGAGAGATCAGAGTGGAATCTTCAATAGCCCATCGCATTTCGGTATGGTCAAGGGTAAGAGTTGGAAGTTAAACAGGAAGACTTTGCAATTATACTCTCATGTCTGACATCATTGTACTTAATATGTTGTAATAGTTGAGGAGTTGGATCTCCCAAGATTCGGTAACTGTCTGCCAAGTTCTGGGGATGCACTCATAGTATGAGATATAGTAGTAACAAGATATATTTATGACTAGTCGTGGGTTTGATGAGCGTTGTTTCTAGTAATCAAAGGCTTAGTGGTCTTTTCCAGACCTATGATTGCTGACTCTGTCGTGATGCTTTGTGTAGGGGTTGTTATGATCGGTAGGCACGGCCTGAGGGGTACCAACCGATTCACATTCAGTTTTATTATCATTTACGAAAGTCCCCGTTTTTTTTGCGGGCGGCGACGCACTGTTACACAGGAGACTGGCGTCACCCGGCCGTATGACTGGATGCTGACTGTACGGTGGAATTCTCTTATTATTAACTCCGGATGTGACGCTTAGTCCCAGCTCCGCTCGTGTTCCGATCCATATCTTCTACCCCGCATTTCAAACCACTTTATATATGTGAATGCCATCCCCGATCATCGCCCGCGTATGGGATGCTGTTCTTTGTCTATTTGAATGTTCTAAAGTAGATTAAATCCACTACTTTCGATATGGATAAATCGCACTCAAGCTCAAGTGAATCTGATATGACCGTTGACAAGACAGATCTCGCATGCCTCATGTGTAGGAAGTATGAAATCTTGTCCGCAACTTTACTTTGATACACCCAATTTGTATGGCTAACAGAATAATGATCTATAGAAGGAAACTGAAATGGTTTGTCCTCTCACCCGTAGTAGCCAGCCTATCAATCTAACGTTCTTTAGTGATCGTGAACATCCCGTTTGCAAAGTCTGCCGCGATACATCGCAGACTTGCACTTACCCTAATGTCAGGCTTAAGCCAGGACCCAAGCTGGGTAAGTGAAGCAATAGATGACGAGCCTTGTTCATGGTGTACTGACTGAAAGCAGGCTCTAAAATCAAAAGATCGAAAAAAAGTCATCGCTCTCCAGAAGCTAGGCCGTCCATATCTTCCTCCTCTGGATCGCCTGAAGCGCTGTTGTCTAAACCCATCACAGAGAAGTTCGTGATTCCAAACGCAAAGGCTGAAGGCATAGCAGAATCCAACGACAGAGCGTTCAATTTTGTGAGAGCAATCGCGGTTTCTTCAATGTTTCATCCGAAACATGAGAGCTTTATTGCCCAACTCTCAATGAGCAATAGTGGCTCGTCTTCAGATGAATTTCTGATCAAGCTGGCTTGCGCTCAAAACGTTCTTACCCAGACATGCGAGGAGCTCGGCCTCAGCATCAATGTTGTACAGCGCTTGTAAGTACTATCAGTTATAGAACTAAGCAGTTGGTCGACTTTCTGACACAGATATTACATTAGGATTGGTCAATACTTTGCAAACTTTGTCGGGTTCTCTCTATTTCATAAGCCCACATTCTGCGATAAAATCAGAGACATCCCTGACTACCGTTATCTGGTCGCATTACTTGCAGCGATGTTCTCGATCTCGACTCGATTCCCGGATTCTTCAGCGGATGGATTATTCCCGGATGACAGCTCTGATGGCCAAAAGAGTCATCAGAAGTTTCACAAGATCTCTATAAAACTCATTGACGAGATGCTTGCAGTTTGCTCCGATGAGCCGCCACCATTCTGTCTGTTGCAAGCAATGACCCTAGCGGTGTTTTATAAGCTCATCGCTGGAGTGCGTGGTACTTCTTGGAGACTGCTTGGAATGTCGATTCGAGTTGCTTACGAGCTACGTCTCCATCTCATTGACTATGAAGGGACGAATGAGCCTCCGTCGGACGAGTCGTCTATCAGATCCTGGATCTTGAAGGAAGAAAGGCGACGATGCTGGTGGGCACTATGGGAGATGGATGCTTATGCGTCAATTATCTTGCGGCTGCCTACTGCTGTTCACAGTCATTTCATCGATACCTATTTGCCTGTTCCTGACTCATGTTGGTTTACTGCGCATCATCAGAGATCTTGTTTACTTAGCAGTGAACCTGGTATGCGCTGGAAGATGCTGGTTGAGTCTAAGAATGAAAGTCCTACAGCGTGGCGCATCCTGTTTATATCATTGATGTGCGGAGCACAAGTCCTAAGCCGAGGAAATATACAAGGTCTTCTCCTAGATCTTGATCAAGATGACCAGGTTTCCCATTTGCTTCAGTATTTCAAAAACGCTTACAAAACGAAATGCTCTGGTGAAGACTGGATCAAATTCTCAAATCTTGTCGCTGCTTTCAGAGATGCATGCAATGAAATGCCAGAGTCACTTCGCGGTTTCGACGATCTAACCAATCTGCGCAAAACAGCGGCGGAGCCCGCTCGACATATAGCGAGCGAGAAGTTCAGCTTGTTTTTGACGATTGAGCATGCGAGGTTTATGATCTATCATATTTATGTTGTTCAAGATGCGATTGAAGGCAAGGTTCGTTTGCTGCTGCCTAGCGAGCAACTTTTTGGCTTTTCGACTCCTACCACAGCTGAGGTGTATGGACGAGGGCTCGATACGTGTCTACATTCAGGAGACAATATATATGATATGCTGGCGACTTGCAACGAAGAATACTTGCAATATGTGAATCCCCTATTTTCGAGTACTATCTGGTTTGCAGCGTCGATGCAGGTATTCCGTCGAGTGTTTCAGAGGGACTCTGCTCCTGCTGTTACAGAGCAGAAATACACCTTTCTGAGAGATGTGTATGATAGTTATGTCAAGTGTTGGGGTACACCGCTGACATTGTTGTTCGACTTGGACACTTTGGAAGAAAGATTGGGTCGGGATGTGAATGTAATCAGTCCTGATGACTGGTGGAGCCCTTTCTTTTCTGCGTCTCCTGACCGGGCGGCGTCTTGCAATGTGTCTGCACTTGCGCCGTTCTCAGCGCCGGAAGAAGATAACTTCTTCAATATCAGAATATAGGGATTGTGAGATTAGTGTTAAGTGTGGGAGTCACGTGAATTAGCAGTTTTCTGCTCTGCTCATAGTTGGAGGTCAACCTTGCCATGATCCGACTATTCATTCTCATGCTGATACCAGAAAGGCACGGCTCGGTGTGTTACGACTCAGTCGAGTTTAATGTGTTTACTTGACGGTGATCGTATCAACTTGCGAAAGCAGCAGCTATCATTTAGCGCTCACGAAAGATCTCACTCTCCGATCTGCCGCGAGCCATTTACGTGCCAAGTCAGGCTCTTGACGACAGCCATCTGGGAGCCTGTTATAGGAAATGAAATGGTAGATGCTGACAGAGGCTTCTGTAAAAGTTGAGCGTCTTAGTTCCATATGTTGTTACGCATGGAGAGAATGACGTGTCCAGTTAATACTCGGCGAGGTTATTTTGAGACATAGCCTTTCTGACGGAGCTTTCTTACCGACCAACCTTCCTACCGCTTAGCCTCCTCAGCGTTTAGACTAGCAGCTGCCGACAGTCGGCAGTAAGCGATCTTAGACCGTTACGTCACCTAGCTACAGCTCGGGTCTTGCTTATGAGCATTGGTAGGATCAGCGGTCTGTTAGCATCTCACATCCGCTGCAGGTGATCCCGGCGATCAATTTTATGAGTCGGGGGCTATAATTGTGAGTGCTGTTATTCTATGCATTCAATGGATTATTACTGTACCATATATGCAAAACAGTAGGCATTAGGCTCTTGGAATTGTTCGCTCTACGTCCAGCCGTGTTTGTCAGGGACCGATTAGTGCTCCCGCTGTTCGGCTGTTCTGTTCGCGAGGCCGCAGAAGCCCGAGAGATAGTCACAATATGTGATATAGTTTGTAGCCGTGGCAAGATCTGGCAAACAGAGGAAAGGTGTTTTTGAGCGAGAAAAGTGGGGCCTGGGCTGGTTTGCTGTGAGAAGATCATCGGATGACGAGCTTCGATGACGGATTAGGGTGACGATCTGCGGTCTATCAGGGATCGGGTAAGGGTTTCTGGATCTCCCACCCGTCTCGGCTTTGGGATATCTAGATCGTGCTATCTCAAGGAAGCTGTTCAAACTGTCGAGACAACAGCATTGAATAGCTTTTGCTTTGCCGATAAAATACAATGCACATCTATAGTCTATCTATATGCAGAATTGACTTTGAAATAGAAAGAGCAGACTACAACGGGACATAATTCAGTCACGGGATGTTCTCGAAGTGCGTGAATCCGCGCCGATCACTCGGCTGCCTCCGCTGATCACTCGGATGGAGGCTTTATGACGTCGTCTCGTCCATCGGGCACACAATTGCATATATAATCACCTCCTGTTCCCCAGTTCGTTTCAACCAGATCATCAACCTTCGTCCGAAGTAAATCATCTATCAAAGCCTCTCAGCCAACACCGTTGCCCACAATTCAGTCCTTCAAAAGATCATTCTCGCGTTCCGCACTTCGTTTCAAAATGACTGACAGTATGTATTTCCTATTTCTGCTTGATGGTTCTGAAATGTGATGTCTAACTGAAGTGTTTCAAACAGCTGGCCGAAAACCCGTCTCTGACAAGGTCTCGGAGACCCTCACTCCCGACTCGCAGAAGTCGTACGCTGAGCAGGTCAAGGAGAGCGCCACTGGTGCCTACGACAAGGTTGCCCGCGAGGTCCAGCCCGAGGACACCAAGTC